GCTCTCTTTCTCAAATCAATAAAATCTTAAAAAAAAAAAAAAAGTAACAAAGTGTTCATGGACTAGAAATTTCACATAGTAAAGATGGTAAAAGTCACTTTCAAACTGACCTACAGGTTCAACTCAATTCCTCTAAAAATCCTAACAGGTTCTTTTTTTCCTCTATAGACAAGATGATTCTAAAATTTAGATGGAAAAGAGAAAGATCTAGAACAGCTAAACAGTTTTGAAAAATAAAATGGGAGGAATCACACTGCCTGATTTTAAGACTTACTATATAGTCTACACTAATCAAGACAGTGTGGTACCAACACAGGGATAGATACATAGCTAGGTGGAAGAGAACAGAGAACACAGAGAGCCATGGAAATACATCTTGACAAAGGTGCAAAAGTAATTCAACTGATTTAAGGTTGGCTTTTTCAACAACTAGTGCTGTAGCAACTGAAAAACGATCCCTTTCGCCCCCTGCCGATAAACCTTGACCCTAAGTCTTAACACCTTATACAAAAATTAACTGGAAATGGATCACAGATGTAAATGAAAGGCTATAAAATTGTTAGAAGACAACAAGGAGAAAATCTTTGGGCCATAGGGCTAGGTGAGGCATTCCTAGACAACACATAAGGCATGATACATAAAAGAAACTGATAACCCAGACTTCATCAAAACTAAAAACTTTCACTCTGAAAAAGACATCCTTTGCTACCACCTAAAACAGTGTTTGAAATTACATTTTTCTAAATAACATAAGTCAAACATTTCAAAAGTTACAAGACAACTTATATTGAGAGGATTTCCCTGGATATTGATTCAAAAAATGGGCAAAAGGACCTAAGTAGACATTTCTCCAAAGAAGATATATAAACAACCAGCAAATATATGAAAAGATGTTCAAAAGCATTAATCATTAGGGAAACCCTTGTGCACTGCTGGGGAGAATGTAAAATGGTATAGCCATATGGAAAACAGTATGCAGATCCTTCAAAAAATTAAAAATCCCACTCCTGGGTATTATCCAAAAGAACTGAAAAGCAGGGACCTGAAGAGCTGTTTGTACACTCATGTTCATAGCAGCATTATTCATCACAGCCAAAAGATGGAAGCAATCCAAATGTCCGACAGATGAATGAATAAACAAAATGTAGTATATACATACAATGGAATATTATTCAGCCTTAAAAAGTAAGGAAATTCTGACACACACTAAAACATGGAAAAACTTTGGGGACATTATGCTAAGTGAAGTAAATCAGTCACAAAAAGACAAGCACTATCTAGAGTAGTCAAATGCAGAGAAACAGAAAGGAGAATGATGGTTGTCAGGGTTAGTGAGAGAGGAAAATTATTGTTTAATGGGTACAGTTTCAGTTTTGCAAGATGAAAATGCTGTGGAGACTGGTAGTCTAACAATATAAATATACTTAACATGCACACTTAAAATGATGAAAATGGCAAATTATATATTACATGCATTTTACCAAAGATGGCAAATTATGTATTACGTGTATTTTACAATTAAAAAAAAGTGCAAATCAATTTTATATCCAGCCAAGTAATCCTTCATGTGTTAAAGAATAAAGAAAAACTGTTTTGCATGTGCCCTTCCTGAGAATCTACTAGAGGATGAGCTTTACCCAACCAAGACTTAACTGAGGAATCTTTGTGAACTGAGAAACTCTGGGGAGTGAGACCCAAGAATCAGTATTTTTAGTTCCCAGATAATTCCAAAGTGTAGCAAAGGTTCAGAAAAACTTGTAGTTCCTTCTCCTTTATTTAATTAATTTATTTGACAAAGACAGAGAGCACAAGCAGGGAGAGTGGGAGTGGAAGAGGGAGAAACAGACTCCCCACTGAGCAGGGAGCCTGACGTGGGGTTGGATCCCAGGACCCTGAGATCATCACCTGAGCCAAAGGCAGATGCTTAACCGACTGAGCCACCCAGGCGGCCCCCTTCTCCTTTAATTTACTGCAGTTCTTATTCAATTTCATTCTGTTTAACAATATACAAATATTTATTTGTGTCTATCTTCCCTTTCCCCTAAGCTTCATGATAATAGGGACATCGCTATTCCGACAGAGACAAAACACTGCAAACAAAAGGATGAAGACTGGGCAAAAAATGCATGGGATATAGGAAGAGAAAAAGAATTTGAAATAGGCACCCAATAACTATCACTACTACTGATACTAAAAGCAGAACAGAATTGTCTGAACTAAAACCATGCCAAATATGCTTGGAATAAAAAAAAAAAAAAAAAGTTACAATTCTGTAATACAAAGCAAATGGAAGGCTGGAAGGCACATACCTGATCCCCTGGCTGTTGCGGACTAGAAGTTGTAGGTTGCTGAGGCTGCTGTGGTGTAAACTGAGAGAGCTGCTGCTGTTGCTGCTGTAGAGTGTTAAAAATGAGTGAACCACCTGGAAGCTATTAAAGAAGAATTAGCTCATTTCACATTATTTAAATTTCTTTATTCCATAAACACTTTTAGAACATTCACTATGTATCAGGCATTCTTCTGTGGATTGAGGAAATAGGTGGATAAAAACCAAACCAAACCAAACCAATATCCCTGCCCTTAAAAAAAAAATCTACTTAAAAACAATTTTTAATTGCTATTACTTCAGGCTCTCAAATATCTAAGTAATCTCAAACATCCATGATTCTGCTTAATAGTTAGCTATCCAAATGTACATACTACTTTTATTTAACTCTTCTTACATATCAGTAGAAAACAGCATTAAATGCATTACAAAGTATAAACAAGAAACTGGTGATAATCAGATATACATATTAAGAAAACTTCTCTAATTTGTTCTAGCTTTACCAAAAAACCAGAAATGCATGGATTTTTATGTAACACAGTAAGGAATTCCAAAGCTGTAATGGAAGTACATTAGATATCCCTATTTTTAGTTCAGAAGTACTACTTGCTGCTCTGTCATTCTGTACCTAAATTACTTCAAAAAACCCCCAAACAACAAAAAAACCCCACTTTTTAAAGCATCCAGAAAATTCCATGTTAAAAATTAAAACTATGGTTTTCAAATGCATCAGGAAATAAATGGTTTTTCCACTTATCCTATAGGGGTTTAAGCTATAGTAATCTCCCTTCATGCATGGTTTTGCTTTCCCTGATTTGTTACTACAGTCAACAGCAGTCCAGAAGCAGATGATCTTCCTCACATGATCAGGTCAAGGGTAGCCTAACACTACATTACAACACCTATGTCATTCACCTCACTTCATCTCATCACCTAGGCATTTTATCATCTCACATTACAAGAAGAGTAAGTACAGCCCCCTGTACTTTGAGAGACCATATTTACCTTTTATTATAGTGTACCTGTTACCACTGTTCAATTTTATTAATTATTGTTAATCTCTTACTGAGTCTAATTTACAAATTAAACTTCACTGTAGGTATTGTGAAAATAAAGAGACGACTAACTAGAGTCCGGAAGCTCAATGTCAGTTATAAGAAGATTGTCAATTACAGATCCCAGCAAAAGAATCCTCAATAGGAAAAAATCGTCAGTGACAGGCCCCAGCAGGGAAAGATGTACACTGCATCTCCAACAAGAAATCGACCACCCCTGAAACTCAGCCAACAAGAAGCTGTCGTCAGCCTGAACTCTTGCTTTTCTCCAATGGACTTCATTCAAAACGACCCTCTCCACTTTCCTCCTCCTTCATCATAAAATAACATTCCTCTCTTTTGTTGAACTTGCCTATGGTTTTGTCATAGCTTGCTTGGCCGAAATTGCAATTCTTTTATTCCCAAATAAGCCAATTAACTGAGTTTTATTTTTAAGGTTAACAGTACGTATATAGAGGAAAAAAACCAGTATATACAGCGTTTTGGTACTATTCATGTTTTAGGCACCCACTGGGGGTCTTGAAAATATATCTACTGCAGATAATGGGGGACTACTGTACAAGCACCTTGAAGTCCTTAAGAGAAAGTCCAAGCAAATAAATACCCAACTACAGAACTCTCAGTTCTGCGCAGCCCAAAAAAAAAAAAAAAAAGTGTCCTCAGATCAGTATCTATAAACCTTATTGTTAGGTAAATCTGGACTTAGTATAGGCCAACTGTTCCTTCCTCAATCAGTTAAGATAATAAATGCAGCAAAATATAATTAACTTATAAAGTAGTCTTACTCCTTATGATTAGTGCTATTAAGGAATTCCACTCCTTTCCAACACCAATATGGAAGGAAGTTGGTTAAATAAACCAATGTGATCTGTGGTCTGTCCATATTACAAGTGGACTGTTCTGCAATTACATTCTGTAAATATAGACATTGTTTGCATCTTGTGTAAGAAATGTTTTTTAAGTTTTGGCTTAAAATATATTTCCTGATTTGTTATTCCTGAAAACCAGGTTGAGTTGATCTGTCTGGTACTGTTTTGTTTTTTTAATTTTACTTATTTGGCAGAGAGAGAGAGGGCACAAGCAGGGAGAGCAGCAGGCAGAAGGGAGAAACAGGCTCCCCCGATGATCAGAGCCCGACCTGGGGCCTGATCCCTGCACCCTGATCATGACCTCAGGGATCATGGCCTGAGCCGAAGGCAGATGCTTAACCGACTGAGCCACCCAGGCACCCGTCTGGTATTGTTATTTCCTAATAATCCAAAGCTCTGCCATTTTGTATCCACACATTCATGTCTACCTTTTCTAAAGGTTCTCTGTAGACAATCCCACCCATTTTCCAAACTGGTAGCTTTATACTGGACCTCATCCTTAAAGGACCTAGTGTAACACCCAGAATATTTTAAGTTCACAATGTGTACTAAATTCTCCACTTTCAATCTTTTTATATGCTAACATTGATAACATGTAAGTAAAGACTCATAATTAGACACAAACTGTAATCTGACGAACATTTAATGAATGAATATAAGGTGCCTAGCATTGTGCTAAGAAATCATTCTTGTTAGGAAAAGAACACCTACCTATTTTTAAAATCTTTCTTCAAGCAAACAGTAATACATATGATACATACATAAAATGCCTGTTGAAAGGAATTATTTTCTAAGTATATCTATTACTGCTATTGTAAGCAAGTGTAGTTCTTGGTAGTTGTCAATTCTCCCCATTGGAACAGCTAGTGCTTGATTACGCAGAGTGTTGGAGCCAATGAAAGTGATATGTAGGATACACATTCTTTCTCTTTATCCACTTCCCACGTGATCATACAAAAAAAGCATTAATTAACCACACCCTTAGAAGATTTCAAACAGATTTCAACATTTCAAATGCTTATATGATCAGATATACATCATTAAAAAAGATATCAAACATAAAAACTTCAATCAAAAGCAATACAATCACATTTACCTGGAGTAGATTTAAGGGCCTGAGATTTGAAGTATTTTTTAAACCAAATGGAACACCTGTTAAATAAAACTCATGGTTAAAAGAGGAAATTAAATTTTATTACACTTCAAAATATTTTATACTTTAGTATCTATAAATACATTTTAAGTACTTTCTGCATAGATGTGGTTATTTTTTCTGTACTTTTAAAATAAAAAACAAAAAAAAATTCATCAATACCTATTAACACTAAGATCTTATTCAAAGATGTGGAGCACCAGATGTACATTTTATAGGCATACCTCAGATATTGTGGGTTCAATTCCAGACCACTACAATAAAGTGAGTATTACAATAAAGCAAGTCAAATGAATTTTGATTTCCCAGTGAATGTTATGTTTACACTACGCTGTAGTCTATTACATGTGCAATAGCATTATGTCTAAAAATATAATGTACAAACCTTAATTATTTTGTTAAAAAATACATTAACTGAGTTTTCAATGAGTCACAATCACTGATCATAGAGGACTACAACAAATGTAATAATAATGAAAATATATGAAATACTGCAAGAATTAGCAAAATGTGATTCAGAGATATGAAATGAGCTATGGCAAAATGGCATCAACAGCCTTGTTTGATGCAGGGTTGCCACAAACCTTCAATTTGTAAGAGAACATGCAGAATCTTTAAAGTGCAATAAAGCAAGGTATACCCGTATTCTATTATTTCAGAAATGATAACGTCTTTTACCACTATTTTGACTTTTGGCTAGAGAAAGTAATCAGGAAGTATGCAGACACCATGAATATAATAAAACTGTCACTGTTGTGCAAATACATTTCAGGGATTGACATCTACTTAAATTTCTCAGTGCTAAGTAGTATACAATAATAATCCTATCTCCGAGAACCCCTGTGCTGTTTGCTATTTTTTCAAGTACAAATGGTAATATTAACAATGTTAAAGAACACTGAATTTTGTCAAAACTGAAAGTCAGGAAACAATGCTGTTACTCCTGCCTGAACTTAGTCCCAAAAATATGTGATGCAACACAGAGCACATAAAGCACGGGTTGGCAAACTTTTTCAGTAGGCCCTGTGGGCCACATATGGCCTCTGTGGCATATTCTTCCTCTTCGTTGTCTTTTTTTTTTTAAACAAACCTTTAAAAATATAACCATTCTTGTAGTTTGTAGGCCACGGTCTCAAAGTATGTGCATATTCTGCCAACGAAATATACCAATTTGAACATTAATTAAAATGTACCTAGTCCTCTCAGCAGATAATTGAATTAAAAAAAGATAAAAGGCAGAACATTCATAGGTGATGGTATCAAAGCATAATCACATTAAAATATTACAGTATTGATATTACTCATCAGGAAAAATTCTCATGAAAAGATATGACATAACTTCTATTTATTTATTTTTGAAGATTTTATTTATTTGAGAGAGAGAGCAGGAGCCTGGGGGGGGCGGGGGGATAAGCAGATTCCCCACTGAGCATGGAGTCCAACGTGGGGCTTGATCCCAGGACCCTCCCTGAGATCATGACCTGAGCCAAAGGCAGACGCTTAACCAACTGAGCCACCCAGGCACCCCCATAACTTCCTTTAAAAATGAATGACATCTATCTAATGCTTATGGCTTATCAAAGGCACTTTCAAATCACTTCACTAATGTCTCCTGAGTACCATCTAAAGTTAGATATTTTTACTCCCACTTTAGAACAGATGAAACTGAAGCCAAGGGAGAAAAATTAAGTGACTTCTTTTAGGCCCCCCAGTGAACATCTGGAGCCACATATAACTAATTGGTAAATATAAGCATCCTAAACTCAACACTTGATTCCATCTCCAGAGCTTCTGCCATTAATGTTTATGAACATTAAAATGAGATCATCAGCTAGAATTACGAAATCACAGCAATATGTTACCTGTTTAAATTACACTCTTTGGGTTTGACTTCTCATAACTCAAATTTTTTGATACATTTTTCTATGTCGTTTGTTTCTCCTGCTAAGTTTTTTCTCAGCAGTAAGAAACTGGATTATTCCAAGATATTACAAAACATTATTTTAAACAACATTAAAAAATAGAGTAAGTTGTTAGAATTGTTTTCCAGTACATGTAATAGTAATTACTACTGCACTGAAACTATCACTGTTTATGATGAGGACGGCAAATGTTTTTGAATGCTTATGTCTCAGGCAATTTAAAGTACATCATCTGTATTTACTTATTTAACCTTCACAACTATGAAGCAAAGCATTATTTTCCCCCATTTTATTGACAAGGAAAGTGAGGTGACTTTCCCATGATTACACTATTCAGTAAGTTGCACAACTGCGATTTCAAACTTAGGCAGTCTGGCTCCAAAGTCTAGGCTTTTTATTGCCATTCTATGTTGCCTTTCTCATACAATCTATGTTTCCAAAATGTATTTCTTTTACCTGGAAAAGGAGGACTACCCTGACAATAAAGTTATCAAAATTAATTTATTATGTTTGGAAGGCAGACATAAGTTGCAGAAACTTACCAAGTTTCTTCATTGAATTGCTAAATGGTTTTTAATTTAAATATCAGGACTTCCAGGGCTTTTTAAATGTAATACCTGCGACATAATGCTTCAAGAAATAAGGACATTAAGTGTATATAATATGCTTAAAATGACATTTTTATATTAGCATGTACTTTAATTTTTTAGAGGTTATTATTTCCAATATTCTGACCTGCTTGAGAAGCTGCCTGCATTGCACCGGGCAATGCATTTGGTAGCAGACCGCCTGAGGGTAGAAGGCCACTCAGGTTTATTCCTGCAGGAGTTATGGCACCAGTGTTACAGCCCAGCATAGGGTTTGAACCACTCATCAAAGCCTGAGCTCCACTGCAGGAGAATAAGACAAAGCATTAAACTTGCACTACAAAAGAAAATTTCAGTCACATAATAATTCCTAAGATTAAAAAACAAGCTACTAAACATACAATTAGGTATTTTGGTCTTAAACATCAGTTTTGGGGCTCTGTTTCATTTTTATGCTAGAGAGTAACAGTAAGATTATCTAAAATTAAGTACTGTATATTTATCAAGGTTTAAAATATAATTTGAAAGAGTAAAAGCATTAATCAAGGGATTAAAATATGGTAATGCTAAGGATAAACAAGAAAATCTATACTGCTGTCAATGTGAAGTAGTATCAGGTTAGTGCATATAATACATAATTACCTAAAATTAAAACATACTTGTTGAGATAGTTTCTATCCATATCTAAACTATTTTTTTTCAGTTTCAGAAATATGCAATTTATTAATTTCACAAGAATTTATTTAGATCAATGAAAGTATCTTAAAAACAAAAACAAAAACACACACACAAAGAAACAAAATCAGGGCATCAATGCAAACTTACCAAACAGAGCCCACTACATTGATGAAGTTAAGTCCAGCAGAGTTTGCCATGACCTGGGTGGCCGTGGTTCCTGTAGTTATGGATGTTACCATGGTGGAAAGAGGAATGGTCGTTACAGGCATTGCCTGGCTCAGAGACCTTTGCTGCTGAGCAAACTGAGTTAACAAAGTGGGCTGAGGGGTGAAGCCTGAATCTTGGGGAGTAGGGGTGGCTGAAGGGGTAATAGGAGTTGAGCTCTGAGCATCAGGAGGGTGTGGGGTCGATGAAGGGGTTGGTGTAGGAGTAGATGGCTTAGGAGTTCCAGATCCTGCTCATTGAGAAAAATAAAAATTGCTAGTTTGTTATAAATGGCCAGTCCTTTTTAAAATAAGGTTAATGGAATCTTACTTAGCACTGACAATTTGTTCCAGTTTTTTTTTAAGCAGTTAACTGCAAGTGTTAATTTCTACACATGATACATGAGTGTTGCTACACTCAATTACAATTAAGGATGCAGTATATCACCTAAAAATTCCATCAGAGATGCTATTACAGTAACAGTAAAAATATACATTTGTATACTACCACAATACCCATTTAAAAGTTAATTTCTTACATGCTACCTTTGGCCTAAAAAGTTTAAGAGGAATTCAAATTAATTTTTGTTATTTACGATTTCACTAATTTAGAACTTCATTTAAAAATATTGCTTATTTTCTGTAACAGTCTGAGATAAATTCTGAACATATTTAATTACATATGGTTAACAATCATATTTGGCACCTAAATGTACATGTTTAATTCCTAACACATCAAGTTTATCCTGACAAACAAATTTACAAAACACAGTAATAAAGCAAATATTTGATAGATAATACTGCATCTTTAACAGTAACTGTGTACTTCTGTTTAAATGTAAGAATGTATAGAAAATCTGTTGTGAATGAAGTATGCACAGTTTATCAACTTTTTAAAAAAAAAACAAAAACAAAAAACAAAAACCAAAAAAATAAAACCAAAAGCTCTTGAGGTGTTTTCTTTTTTAGCTTTCATGTCCTGCAGAAAGAAAGGAAAGAAATGTGAATGTCCAGAAGCTGTCACTCAACCCTTACTTAAAGTAACAACTGTGTGCAGTAGATTAACATAATCCATACCCACAACATAAGAAGTGTGAATAAGACTTCCAGGAAATTTATAAATTTTTCTTTGTGCAAAACAAGAAGGCAGAAAAATTACACCTTTTGAGCTATCAAGATGAAGATGTTTATATCTAAGGCGAAGACCACCCTATCACTGTGCAGTGTACTAAAACTTTCAAGCACACTTAGTTATCTATAAAAAAATCTAAAAAACTGGAATGCTTTTTTGCAAATTGATACCTAAATATCTCAGAAAACTCTAATTTGAAGAAATTCTCCCAATTGAATGCTAGAATTCTTGCATAAGTTTTCTTGATGTTAAAAAAAAAAGTAGTAAAAATTACATTTTAATATTTTCAGAATGCCTTATGATTATTAACACATTTTAGCAACTGATTACAATTTTTAAGAGTGTAGGAGTGTTTTTGAAAAATCGGCTTTCAGTTTATCACCACCTTGGAACTAGCTGGTTTCTTACACATACAAAAATAGGACTGCAGCAACAACTCTTATGACTTGTTTTTCATATCAGCTACGTAAGTTTACATAAAATGTAACATGATCCTAGGGAACACTGGAATAAAAAATATTTTGGAATCTTATTGCTACATTTAACAGATTATTTTTTTAAGGAGATGTGTAGGTTGTAAATCTATAAGGTATACACACAGTGCATACACAGATACAGAAAAACAAATACAATTACAATAAACACATAATACGTACAATTAACAAGAGATTTGCCTGAAGCTTCTCAAAACTTATACATTTTGGGTACATAGTACATTCAGATTTCAATATTTCACTGGTCAAAAAAAATAGCTTTTTAAAGAAATACTAATGCAAAAAGCTAATGAAGAATTTTAAGTTATAACTCACTTTGTGATGAGCTGGCAGGTGACAGGGCAGCTGGAGAAAGCATGCTAACTTGATTGAGATCCACAGATGACTTCCGAGAAAGACTTGGTGGCTTGGAAGCAGGAGGAGGAGTTGGAGATTTAAGAAAGCTGCTGGCCTGCTGTGGTGTAAAATAGTTACCTAGAAGAATATAAAAGTTATTTCCTACACTTATAATTCAAAATTCTGTGAATTAAGTCATAATATGAGTATAATTTTAAAAACAGATTATAACTGTATGATGTGTTTTACTCCAGATGACAGAAATCAAAGAATGTAATACCTGAAGAACTACCTCCTGAGCTTGAGGGAAGTTTGATGGGTGGAGGTCGATGTTTTACTCCCTTTCCCAATACTGATGACTGAACTGACACAGTCTCGGGCTGCTAAGAGACAGGGACATTAAATATACTTGTTAGAATTAAGCTCAAATCAGAAACTCCTAAATTAATACCACTATAGCTTCTAGATGACAACACACACTTTAAAACTCTGCAAGTTTTATAGTGTGTTATAGGGTGGGTGTGACAGATGTTACAAAAAAATACAATTTCACATAAGAAGATCCATGAAACAAATTACAGTATATATATAAAGGATGAAGGAAAGATTTCTAAGTAATAGCATGGGGAAAAACTTTGAAGGAGAAGAGCAGAAAGGTAAACTGAAGGCAAAGCTTCCACTCTTAAATCTTTCCAGGGAAAGGAATAAATTGTTGAAGCCAGGTGATTAGTATACACAGGTGTTCATTATACTTTTCTCTCTACCTCTGTGTATACTTGAAAGTTTACAGAAAGTTAAACACTACACAATACCCCCATCCCCCCAAAAATAGTCTTAAACATTTCTTAGATTCCCTGAGAAACAACTAGGCACAAAAAAGTAATCAAACATACTTCTGTTTCTTTCCCTGGAGAAAGCTGACTCAAGCTGGCTGAGCCACTGGAGCTGTGTGACATTTTGACTGGGCATTTGGCTTCATTCTGGACCAATTCCTGGTATTGATTGACTACCCTGGAATATTAGGAGTAAATGGATAAGGATTAGCTAACTGTTCTAAACACAAAATTTATAGGAAGTAAATAATAGCTAACTGTTAATAAAAGAATTTCCATCAAAATTAACACAAAAATTCAAACTAGATAATTTAAGTTTGTACCAAAATTACACTCTTCTATTCTTTTTAATTACAAGCTAATGCTCAAAACATTTTGCTAATAAACAATCTAAAAATAAACATACAGTATCCTTCCTTTTAATAAAGTACAGGGATTATTTAACCAATAAGCAGCCAAAGAAATTACCCACTGACTTTCACTCACATTCTGATTAAAGTACTACTTAGAAATTACTTTCCTTAGCTACCATAGATATATCTATGCTTTCTTATTTAAAATACACTGTATTTTAAACATTCCTCTGTTATATTCCTAATTCTATAAAAAATTCTAGTAATATCTAAGGTACAAATAAAATCAAAATTGTGACTCTTAGTGGAATACTCTGTCCTATAAAAGTGAAGTTTTTCATATCCATCCAGATTAAAGACACAAATATTTTTACCTCTCAGCATCAGTCTTTGATCCAATAATAAACCTAGTATGTTTAAAAGAGAGAAAAGTATCATGTTAAGAGTTGTCTTAAGGAGTTCTGGGATTACTTTTGAAGGCTTCCATATTTTAGTGACTGCAGTTTTATAAAATGAGTCAAACTACAAAGATATTACAAAACATTTTTTTTACATACATTTAAGCTTATGAAGCAATGACCAAGTTTTGCATGCATTATAAATATCCTGTGAATAATTTGGCTGATTTAAGGGAGATGTATTTTGGCATAAAACTTATGTATCAAAACAAAATCTGGGCTCAAAGTTACCAAGTGCTATACATCCTTGCAAGTGTCTGCCTACCGCAAAATTCACTGAATTACTGTGTGCAAGGCCTTTGGCCTTCCTCTCATTTTAACCTTTGATTTTTGAAGTCATTAATAATGTCTACAGAGCAGATCTTAGAATATATTTTAGACAAGGTAGTTTATTGCCAATTCAATAAAATGTCTTTAACAAGTCTTTTTAAAGAATTTGACATTTATATGATTTCTTAAACAGATTAAAATAGTGAGTTTGTTTATTTTTTAATTACCAATTTGAATGATCATCTGTGGAGGAGCTGAAATATAAAATGTAAAAAAAAGAAAAAACTTGGTTAATGCAGCTCAAACTTTAACTTCATAGTTATTAACTCAAGTAATTTATGAATATGGAGGAATGACTGGAAGTAACAAATCATGCGGTATTTTTGCAGCAACTCCCTGATGTAAAGGCAAAAAATTCAATTCTCTTCTTGTTAGATCTAATCAGTTGGCTTTTGAACTGATTTTTTCTTTTTTAAAGAATTTATTTATTTTATTTGACAGAGACACACAGCGAGAGGGAACACAAGCAGGGGGAGTGGGAGAGGGAGAAGCAGGCTTCCTGCGGAGCAGGGAGCCCGATGTGGGGCTCGATCCCAGTATCCTGGGATCATGACCTGAGCCAAAGGAAGACGCCTAATGACTGAGCCACCGAGGCACCCCTGAACTGACTTTTTTTAAATGAGAAAAAGAACATATCTCCTTGTGTGAGAAAAGTTCATAATTTAAAATGATCAATGTATGTCTTAAAGGGGGAGATGTTTAAAAACATAGGTAATAGAAACATCTGATCTATGTAGTATTCAACAACAGAAACTGCTAATGTGAAAAAATTACCAAATGATTCTTTGACTGAAACTATTTCTTCCCATTGACTTTTACTTAGATACTGGTGAGGTTGTTCTTTAAAATCCATTTCTGCTATAGTCGCAGTTAGCATCTTGTGTTAAGACTTTATATAAATAATTTAACATAGGCCTGGCCCCTGCTTTTTTTCTGTTGAGCTCCTCTTTGTAGTCTCTTCTTTTTGAAACAGCATCAACTTGATTGAAAAACAAAATAATCTAACAATAAAAACAAAACTAAATACTGTTACCTTGTACTAAATATACGGAGTCCATAAGTTTTAGATCAAATATGTGTATTTTTTTTTAAGAGCCAATAACTACATTAAGCACTGAGTCTTTGTCCTTACATGCAGTGCTGCAATACCAAGTACATTTAACATCTTCTTCGTTTATTCTAAACTTGCTACCCATTGAAACAAACTACTTCTCAGAAACACTTCAACTTCCTGCTCACAGGTTGAAGTCACAAGTGTCAACACATAAATATAACAAGAGGGTTATATCCTTTAAAGCAAGTATGAAAATAATTATACCATAGGTTTTTAAAAAGATATTATTTTAAGTAACTCCTGGACAACATGGTTATTGTAATTTAGGTTTACTTTTGTCCACTGATAAATCTAATTGGAGTACTTAAATAACAAATGAACCCCCAAAGGGAAGTTTTTACTCATTAATGGTTCATCAGTAGTTGCTAGATAAATTCTGATGCCTAATTTTGTCAATTACATGTATTTAACAGAACTCACTGGGATGGAGACACCTGGTTGTCATTTTCTTCATCTTCTTTACATGGCTGTATTTTACCATAGTAAAGTGGATCACCAAGTGACTGCAAAATGGTCAGCTTTGTTTTCTGATACTGATTACCAGCTTCACATTCAAATACATAATCATCTTTTACATCCTGAAAAAGAGTGTCCCAGATACATACCTTCTTCAGTAAACACATAATCAAAGTTAACAAAATAAACGACACACTAACTTGTATCTGGCAATATGAAGACACATCACATTTTGACTACAGACCTGTTTAAGACCATCAACGAGAATAAAGCCCAGGATTCTTTTTTACATAGCACTTTAAGAATGAGAGTCCAATGGGGAGTTAACCAAGCCCAAGTGAAATATGGCAGAATTGCATATACTGAACATATAGAATGCAAATACTAAATATTAAAGGGTTAAAACTTGAAGACAGATCTATTTGTCACATATAAAAAATATTACTGCACTTAGGAAAATTATACAGAACATTTAAAATCATCCTTAGAGTAACTTACTAATTAGAAACAGAAAACAAATCAGAACTACCAATATGCAACTGAAACAGAAATAAACATGCAGTTATATATTACAACTGCCCTTTAAAATGGAAACCATACTTTATGAAAAACAAAACTGTTCTTTCCTTTAATTCACTAATCCCCAGAATGTCCTTTAAATTAAAAAAAAAAAAATCCTAAAGTAAAGGCACTTTATGTTTAATAAATTCAGAAACAGCCTCATCAGAAAGAAGACTGCAATGATGGACTTACATGGGCTGGCCAGACTGTTGGTTGTGAGTCATCAGATTTGATGGACTTTTCCACTTTAGCATATTTCTCCACCTAAGCAATCAAATCAAGAGACAGGAGATGTAATGGAATCAGTATTGTGACCAAAGAGAAAAACCTAAGTAATTTATCAAGACAATACAGTTTCAAGCACAAAAATTACTGAATTGCTAATATCACCAACTATTTATGCTTAATTTAAAACTCTCCTGATACAGTAATTTGACTAATTGGTTTTAAAAACACAATTAGAATCTCTTTTGTCATTAAATAGGTGTAATAAACACAGCTGCTTTTTTGGACAATGCCTTTTCTTTTTATCCCATAAACTGACATTACATTTATCCTTTAGGAAAGTTGGAATGATACAGATATAATCAGGACCAAGATCTTTTCCTTCGGCTGGGTTTTTAAACCACTTTTTTTTTCTAAAGATTATTTGAGAGACAGAGAAAGAGAGAAAATGGCTCCCCACTGAGCAGGGAGCCCGACGTGGGGCTCCATCCCAGGACCCCAGGATCATGACCTGAGCTGAAGGCAGACGCTTAACCAACTGGGCCACCCAGATGCCCCCTATGGCTGGGTTTTAATGGACAGTTGGGACAAAACTGGAGGAAGACTAGGGAAGTTATATAAAGTTGATAAAACTTTTGTGAACCTTTTCCCTTTTCTAATTGGACATGGACCATACATTCTGTATTATCACCTACTAGTCTGTGTGAATCAAATTTTCTCATCTTCCTGGTAACCATGACCTTAAGATAAATCAGACTCACCTGGGAAACTGATAAAAATTCAGATTTCCATGTCCTTTCCCTGGAGATCTGACTAAATTAGAAGGTCTGAAGTGGGGCCTGAAATCTACATTTATCTGGTATTCTTCTGCTCAACTCAGACTGAGAAACTTTGTATTAGCATTTTGCTACTCAAATGTAGGCTGTGGACCCCAGTACCATGCAACCCGAGAGCCTGGCAAAACTGCAGCAGCTCCGGTTCTAGCCCAGACTTGCTGAATTAGAATCTGCATCTTAACAAATAAGCCAAGGTGATTAGGATGTACATTAAAGCTTGAGAAGCACTGCTTTAGATATCCAGTCTACCCTCCAAAGCTAAATCCCAGCCTTTAATATTTACACTAACATCTCTTCTCAAGCTACATTCCTCCAGAAACACATTAAGTTATAAAAAAAAATGTGGCTTATGTTTCCTTTAGTCATATACATAGTATACTTCTGATGGGTTGGCTTTGTGCTTTTCAGAAATTTTTCTCTTAATCTCAGAAAATAAGAATAGTACGTGTGCTAGCCTAAGAAGGATGCGGAAGAAAAGCAAACATCCGTTAAAACAACTAGCCAATTATAGAGTTGAGTGAAAAACAAAAAGGAACACAGGAGGAATAGGAAAGTGAAAGAAATATGGGACTAGTCATCAAAAGATCTCTTTCATGTCTTTGATCGTTTATAGCTCATGAATATTATGGATCAGCAGAGAATAACACACAAAGTTCCTAATCTTGGTCACTGATTTGAAAAAAGCAGCATTATCAGGAAATTATAATGGAATATTATGAAAAAAGAACACATTTTATACATATTATGTTATAAGGTACCATCTTTTTCCATATTTCAAAATTCTTTATTATTCCTACTCTAAACACAGACGTTTTAAAGTAATACATAGATGTATTAAGGTGTTATATTCCTACACAAGTTAATGTGAAAGAATATTCTAAAATATTATAAAAATGAGCAATTGATTTAAAAAAAAATCATTACTCTGTTTTTAAAACAAGTCTTTGTTTTCCCAGAATATAAGCTGCTACTAGTTAAATTTAGGAACTTTATATGAAAATAAGTGCAATTCATGAACTGACTTACATCCACTTCAGAAGGTATGGCCAAATTACAGGGACTCCGCTTCCACATATCTACACACTGAAAATTAAAAACAGTATTAATATGCTGAAAATTCAAAATGAGCAAAGCTTTTGGCATAATAATAAGCTTCATTTAAAAAAACACATACTTACATTTCCTGCTTTGGATATCTTGAGGTCATAATGTTGACCTGCTTTTCTTTCCTTCCTTTTTTGTAAGAAATCAAGTAATTTTAGCTGTGGAGGAGGTGGACAATGGGACAGATCCTGTTGCCGGTTCAGAGAAGACCTGGAATACCTCTTGAAACACCTGAAATATTGAAAGAGTTGAACTAAACAAAATAAAAGAAACTCAGAATAAATCTGGATTCAAATCAGTAAGCATTATATATGTAAATCACAAATATCTGTAGAACACTATCACTTGCCAAGCAAAGTCCCAGGCACTGGTAAAACAAAAATGAACAAGACAAACAATTCCTGCTACCATGGAGCTGATAGTCCAGAGGGGAAAACAGACATTCACAAGTAAACAGGTAAGATCATTTCAGACAGCACTGATCAGGAGGAGGAAAAAAACAAAACAAAACAGAGTCCTGTGGTGAGTCAGTGACAGAAAGGGCAGCATTAGGTAAGAGAAAGGAAGGACTGGACTCTGAAGAAATGATGTGTGAGCTGAGCCATGAATGGCAAGAAGGAACTGCCTATGAGAAGATCAGGGAGGGTGCCTGGGTGGCTTGAATAGTTGGGCACCTGTCTTTGGCTTGGGTTGTGATCTCAGGGTCCTAGGATCGAGCCCCGTGCCAGGTTCCCTGCTTGGTAGGGAGTCTGCTTTTTCCTCTCCCTGTGCCTCCCACCCCTCGTGCTCTCTCCCTCTCTCTCAAATAAATAAAATCTTAAAAAAAGAAAGAAAAAAGATCAGGAAATGAGTATTTGAAGCACAAAGAAGAATTTAAAAACTAAAAAAGAATTAAAAATTTGTTTTAAAACCAGAAAATAGGTGTGATTAGAGCATGAGGATCCACATAATGGATGAAGTCAGAGAGTGAGAAAGGGGCCTTGCAGATCAATGGTAATATGTTTAGATTTAATGTGAAGTACAATGGGAAGCTTTAGGGAAATTTAAGCAAGTAGTGGCATAATCTCCTTTGAAGTTTTTAAAAAGATTATTTCAGTTTGCTTACGGGACAAATAGATCAGAAGGGAGCAAAGATAGTAGCAGGAAGACCGGTCAAATAGGAATTTACTACAGAAATAAGATGAAGATGATGCTGACTTTATGATTTAGCAGTGGGCATGGAGATGTGGAGAGATACAAAGAGATTTTATAGGACTGCTAACAATCTTATATGGACTTTCTTCACTATTTCTGAAACTGTATCTTTTCCATAGCATATGTTATTCACATAGTAAATTGAGGAATTTAGAAAATGGATTAGGTTTTGAACTCCTCCAAACTTGAAGATTATCCAAAGTGGGCAATCAAACAATTATGTCAGAAGTACTTAACGATGAACCAAATATAACTGCAGTCCAAGTTAATATTAAGTAAAAGAGATAGCTAAAACATTTAAAAACAAATTACCATGTTATAAAAAGGCATCTGGTTATAAATTGACTTGACTGATATTTTATCAGATCTCAAAAATAAATTATAAATTGTTTCTTTAAAAGGAGTATTAACAAAACAAACAGGTTATTGGTTATTAGTAATTAATAAAGGAATTATTGTTTATACTCGTCTCTTCTCAGCCTCTTTTTGGTAAACAGACTAAACTTTAGAAGTTTGTTCTTTCACAAAATGCACAGAATGCACCATTTTAGTATAAAGCAGACGGTATTAAAAAACCATAATACACAAAAAAAGTAATATGAGGCTATTAAAATCCTATTTTAAAAAAAGAGCACTTATATACTTTGGAGGGGGAAGATACCATAAACAGCAAAATTTAAAGCTACTTGCCTAGGAGCATCTTTCGGTTTACCTATCTACAAAGGCAATTACCGTTTCATTGGGCGCGTGTTCATCTTTTGCTTATTATAAAGCAGTCTGTTTGCAGTGCAGGTTACTGCTATAGAAGGATCAAGACACAATGGTTCTGCTGTAGCTAGGATCAGTTGGCTCTCAAGCAAAAGTTTATCTTCCTAAAATGTGTAAGAGTGTATGTCAGTAACAGATTTAAGTTTTTCAAATCACACATACCTCTTAATCTAGAAATATTCCTTGGAATTCTGTTATGTACTACTATAAAACACAGTATTTCAAGTTCCAACCTTTGTGTAAACTTCAAAAACTTGACAGCATAATGAAACCATTAATGGAAATTCAGTAATTTGTACAGTGTTCAAAATGGTCAAGTTTTTAAGAGTGCCTATTCATTAATTGAAATATTTGCTGAGCACCTACTACATGTTGGGCCCTGTTCTAAGAGTTGAAGATTAAGTGGTGAACAAAACACATAAAATCATCTGCTCCCACAAAGCCTACAGAATTATGAAAGATCACAGCACTTTCAATAACACAGAGATTAACAGTCCCATTCTATACATAACTTCATTTCAAGAATAAAAATGATTACACTAATACTGTGTAAACTCTATATACCCAATTCCAAAGTGTATAACAGGTCTTTTACTGGTATTACGTAAGAAATACTGCTTTTTTTTTTTTGCTTAATCACTGAAATATTTTAACAGCAACTACATTTTTTATGGTTAAATGAGTCAATCAATACTACTGCTGAATAAGATTTTTGCAAAAAAAAAAAAAACACTGCTGCTTTCAATACTTCAACTTTTTATTATGGATATTTTCAAACATACACAAAAGCAGAAGTGTGGTGACACCCATGTACCAACACTCAATTTTATTAACAACTGCCTCTGTAACTTATGCTTTTGTTTTGCTGGAGTTATTTAAAAGACATCTTCGATGTTGTATTATTTCATCTGAAAATACTTCAGCACGCATTGCTAACTGATAAGAAGTTCTAACATACAGTCTGGCTTTAAATTTCCCATTATCTCAAGAGTGTATTTTTAGTTGGTTTGTTTGAATTTGAACTCAAACAAGGCCAAAGGTATTTGGTTTTTACCTGTTTTAAACATCTTTTTTTGTTCTGTAATGTGATCATCTCCTTCTCCCAACTTTTTTTCCCTTTTCTCATGCAATTGGTTTGTTGGATTTGAGCAACTACTTCCTTGTGGACTTTAACTGGATCTGACTGGCTGCTTCCTCACTGTGTCATTTAATAGTTTCTTTTATTTCCCCAAATTCCCTATAAACTGTTAGATCTAGACGCTTAATTTAATTCTGGTTCTGTTGTTTTAGGCAAGAATTCTTTATTGGTACTATTGTGTACTTTCTCTTGCATCATACCAGGAGGAATACAATGACTGACTATCCCACTTTTACATTAGTGGGGTTAGTCAGATCTCTGCATCATAAATATTCCTACAAACCTATGATCTAATTGTTTTTATACCTAAGAATTACATCTGTCTAGATTCATTAATTCATTAAGACTTCCAAATTGATTTTTAAAAAATCTACCATTTATTTCTTTTGTACCTATTAGCTAGAATTATTCCTATATATTATTCCTATATATGTGCAGGGAGTGCACCTTTCAATTGTGCATTCCACACACTTTTAAGATTACCCATCTGGCAAGAATGCTATGGAGCCTACATCAACATTTAACGGTATAAAACTGAAGGGAAATTAAGTTGAGATACTATTAGTATCTATAATATGTGAAATCACAACTAAAAATTTCTGCTATTTGGAATCCTTAATTACAGATTACCATCTCTGTATCTATCTCACCCAAAGAAATTCAAATCTCACCAATATCAGAAATGTTAATGCCAAATTGTCTTCTATACTTCCTGATTCTTACTGGAACCTTCTTAAATAAATCATTATTGAAGCATATTTGTGTTATATTCTCAAAAGTTAACTCTAAATCCATGTTTATATGAAAGCAATTAAGAAAAATAAACTGTGTTAAGATATAGGTGGTAGTTTTCAAAGAATGCAGGTGATATTTTTCAAAGACAGAAACTACGCATTTCTTATAGGAAATGTGTAGAAATGAAATGTCCTCTACTAACATTTACTTTGTACCAGGATAATTCTGTTTGTTCTCCCTCTTTCCTACTGAGGTATAACTGACATATTATTTTCAGGTACACAAGTGATTTGATATTTGTAAACCCCGCAAAATGGCCATCACAGTCTAGTTACCCACAGCAACAAAAAGTTTTTTTCTTGTGGTGAAAACTTTCAAGATAATTTTCCTCAAGAATTTCCTCCTAGTTACTATTTGGCTATCTAACATACAGTTCATACAGGAAAAGCAGAATAAAATGCTACAGTCTCTCCCTTTATTCATTGACATTCAGAATAAGAAACTAACACCCTAGCAACCTCTTATGGTGACCAATGAGGTTTTTTGGGGGGTTCTGAATATTCTTTCAATAGCTCTTAACCTTGCAGGCAAAAAGATTATAGCCCAAACTAAAACCTTAACACTTGACAGTTACTGATGACTACATCTTATTCATAACCACATTTTGCAGATAATTTTCATTATTGATATTTTCTTTGGTTTAGTAACTATTCCTCTCTGTAGTAGCAGAGAAATAAGTCAACACTCTTATGAGTGGACACCAAACATATACTGAGCCAGCACCAGTTAACTGGCTAGTCTCAAAGTTCTAGTGCTACAACTGGTGTGAACGGCAAAAAGGCTAGACCTGCTTTAGAATCCTAGATCATAGAAAACCAGTATCTATTTGTATCCATGGTATAAAGACAAGTTTTTTTCTTCCATTTGAGAGGGGATAAAAAACTAAGTTTCACACATTGGGTAGATCAGGTCAGCCTAACCCTGTTTCACCATGGTCCTAAAGCAAATGGGATGGAACTGCTTAGTTCCTTGAGCCATTATTGCATGGATGAAGAGACCCCCGATTTCTACAGCTCATAAAGAAATCCCCAAATTTACTCTTGAATAAAATTACGAATAAAATATCTTTTGCTTAGCTTAATGTTAAGTATTGTTCCTTTATTTGCCTGTTTGGGATTAAAAAACAACTAACCTGGGTCCATTTGTGGTTATCGCTTGTTATTGAATGTACATCACAGATCAAAGTCTACAAAAAACAAAAATTAAAAAAAATACAATATATAGACAAAGAAACATATGAAGATATTTAATAAGTAGAACTCTAAATAAAACTAAAATTCCTTTAAGATTTTATTTTTAAGTAATTTCTATTCCCAACTTGAACTTACAATTCAGATCAAGAGTCACCCACTCCTCCACCAACTAAGCCAGCCAGGAGCCCCTAAAATACTTAAACATTCCTTACCTGCATTGTTGGTCGTAAGAGAATATGCCTACTTTGGTAACCAGGAGACTTCATATTACTGGACTGCCTGTAGTCACGTATTTCTGCTATGACACATCCACAATGAAAAATATTAACCTGTTTTGAGTGAAAACATTTAAGTAAATGTCATTTTTTAAAAGCCTACATAAGAGTGCTTACATTCAATGTTTCAGGTTCTTTACATGCTTATGCAATACTTCTGGCCACTCACATAATCTTAAGTGGCCTTCCTTACCGGTGGATTTACCATTATATAAACTTTTCAAGGAATTATTTTATGTTCATCACTATGACTCAAGAAGCAGTTTAAAATCAACTTAATGAATTCTAGTTATGGATTGAGTTTTGGCATTTATATACTATTAATGTTACAAATCACTAGAAATGCTGTTCTTGATGCTCACTGGCTCACAGCTATACTTTGCTAACTTTGACATTTTTATGAAGTTTGTCTTTGTTACAAATTGTCAATCAACCCTGCCAGAGTTTCAGTTTCTGGATATGACTACTATTTGCTCTGCTAAGATTTCCAATAAATATGACTTTATTAATAAAAGGAAGAAAGCTAACTATAAATTCAAATAATAATTTTCAGCTAAACATATTGTTTTCTGGTCCAAAGGTAAGAATCTTTATCACTCAAGTCTTGCTAAGCACAACCTGCTATAGGCACTTATAATACTATGTTTTTCGCCCTTTCAGAACTTTTACTGGGGACTTTCTTTGCTATGAGTTGTTATTATGCTCATTCTTTTTAGCAAGTATTTATTGAGCCACGACAATGTGAACTATATGCCAAGCACTATCCAAGAAGCTTCACAGATAGTGGTGGTGGGAGAACATTTGCTCTTAGTGTGGGAAGACAGGCAACAAACATGTACAGAAATAAGATAATCTTAGATACTGATGAATGCTGGAAAGGAAATAAAATAGGGAGGAGCTAACTTAGATTGTGGTTTCAGATAAAAACTTCTCTGAGGGAATGACTTTTTAGGTGAGGCCTGAATCACAAAAGGGCCAGACATCCGGCACTGATCATTCCAAACACAAGGAACAGCAGATGAAAGGTCTTAAGGTAGGAATAAGGTTGGTGTGTTTAAGTATGTAAAGAACAATGGAGGGCTGCAGCGTAGTGAGCAGAGATGAGAATCAAGAGATGAAGACAAGGCGGCAGGGGTTTTGTACAGTGAGAAAACACTGAAGATTTTAAGCTGAGAACTTTCTTTTTTTTCCCAATTTCTTTTGTTTTTTAAGCTTAATCTAGCTATCTGTGGAGAACTGATTTCTGGGGTTTTAGAATGAAAGCAAAAAGTTCAGCAAGGTAATTACAGCAGGTCACGAACATATATATTTTGAAGGTACAGGTGACATTTGCTGAGGGACTGATTGTGAAAGGGGAAAGCAGGGTCATAGATTACAAAGACTGAAACTGGTTTGGGGGGTAGAAAATAAAAATTTCTGTTCTCGTCATATTAAGTTTGAGGAACCTATTACATATCCTAGTAAATACAAGTTTGGAGCTTGATGGAACAGTCATGGAGAGACATATAAGCAAAGGGATTAAATGTCATTTTAAAACTCATGACACTGGTTGAGATCATCCAGGGACAGAGTGTTACTAAAGAATAGAGGGCACAGGATTGAACCCTGAAACCTTCACACATTTATGAAGGGAACAGAGATGACAGTAAAGAAGACGGAAGGAATACAGAGAAGAGGAAAACCAGAATGTGAGGTGTCAGAAGACAAAAGAAGAGTGTTTCCAGGAGGAAGCAGTCATTGCATTGAATTCTGTTGAGACCAATTAAGATGAGAACAGAAGGGACGTCTGGGTGGCTCAGTCAGTTAAGTGGCTACCTTTGGCTCAGGTCATGATATCAGGGTCCTGGGATTAAGCCCCACATCGGACTCCTTGCTCAGCGGGGAACCTGTTCTCCCTCTGCCTGCTGCTCCCCTCGTTCTCTGACAAATAAATAAAATCTTAAAAAAAAAAAAAAAAGATGAGAACAGAAAAGTGACCAGAATACAAGTAGAGGAGATTTCTTAGGTACAGCATTCATCCATTTTAACAGAGAGGCAGGCAGAAAGTGCAAACAGAGATGTGGATGTAGTTGACCAGGACTAGGAGAAAACGGAAATTCCCACTGGCTTCTTTTTCCTAAGTACATAGTATCGCTGGAGTGAAGCCAAGGAGTAAATAGTTTCTCCCATAATCCTGGTTGTAGGTATAGAGAGATTTCGAACAAATGAGCTAACTGTTAAAGCAATTTTAGAATTAACTAAATCTACACATTTCAGTACAGCGTAAAGGGTGAGTATCCCATAATAAAATGGGTTACCATATAACTATGTGTAACGCCTCACTTAATGTTCTAAGCACCATCAAGAACATAATTATCATTTATAACAAATGCCATAGAGTTGACAAATCTAATGACATTTATTTTTTTTCCCCAAGATTTTATTTGAGAGAGTGCGCACGAGCATGAGTGGGGTGGAGGGGTTGCGGAGGGGAGTGGCAGAGGGAGAGGGAGAGGGAGAAGCAGACTCCCTGCTGAGCAGGGAGCCCAATGCAGGGCTCAATCCCAAGATCCTGAGATCATGACCTGAGCTGAAGGCAGACACTTTTTTTTTAATAATTTTATTGTTATGTTAACCACCATACATTACATCATTAGTTTTTGATGCAGTGTTCCATGATTCATTGTTTGTGCATTGAAGGCAGACACTTAACTGACTGAGTTACCCAGGTGCCTCTCTAACAACAATTTAAAAAGAAAAATTTTGTACCTGAGATTTTTCTAGGAGATCAACCAAAATAGGAGGTAATTCTTCTGCATCCAAGTATTCAAGCAATTCTCCTTCTTCATAAGGCAGTCGAATGGTCTCAGAATCTTAATATTAAAACACAAAGTTTCTGAAAAATGTTCAGGCTCACTGCAAAGCTTAGTTGTATAATTTAAATGAGTTTCCATAAAAAAAAAAGAGAATAAATCCCAAAGACTTTTCTAAAATCCTTCTTTATTTAAGTCTTATAAATGAATCACTTCACATACTACTGAAAGACTTTGTAAACTGTATACAATTTTAGGCCAGAAAGGAGAAAACCCACAACATACTATGGAAAAAATTCTGGCATAACAACATAAAGCAAATCACAGCCAGCAGTACAATAATCAGAATATGATAAAATTCCAACACTGGTAACTGAAAGTCCCTTGAAGACTACTTAATCTAATGTGAAAATCAGTATGATAATTTGGTATCTCATCTGAAAAATGGTCACTTACAGAACAAAATTCTGTTACAATTATCAACAAAAGAAAAAAATCCTTAACTGGACCCACATCATCACCACCACATCAAATTTCTAGATGTCTCTTTAGTGAAATCTAAGAGTGCTTACATTTCAAAACTATTTTCAAGTTTACATTAATAGAAATAAATGTTACTAAATAAGAAAATTATTCAAAAGGCAGCAAATCTGCTTTATTTTGAAGGTTTCAGACCCAAGAGTATACTCAAAATACAGTAGAAAAACATAAAAACACTTCATGCTACCTTAAAATGTAAAAAGCAATAGAAAGAAAATTGTGTCAATTATTTAAAGGTTAGGTCTTATATAATTTAACTTCAAAGACCTAACTCAATGAGAATTCTCTTCCAATGCATATGCATAAAGGTAATCACCTTACAGATACTTACTAACGAAACTTCGTAAAGAGGAAAATTTGGGCTCATGTCTTATCAAGTCATCACTGCTCTGAGGAACAGACCACTTTGCACGTTAAAAAACTACTTCTAAAAGACAGCACATCCTTTCTTGCAGAGGGATTTTTGTGGCCGCAGCTCTCTGAAGGTTCTTACCTGATCCATTTTTTCCCCTGAGCATCAGAGAATATCCCTCATTTCCTGGGTATAGGTTGACCACTAAACAGGACAATGTCTCTTGCATAACAAGCTTCTCTAACAAATTCACATTTCTTCTTAATTTCTGCTTTAAAAAGAGGCAGAGCTCATGAAAATAATCTGGCATAACCGTAACAAAAATGCTATGATTTAACAAAATCAGACCTGAATTAATCTTTTAGTGCTCCTTCCACATTATGATCCTGAATATATGGGTAAGATTCACAAACACTACAGCCACCAAATATAAGACACATCTATGTAAACTCAATTTTGGTCTATTCTACGTTTTATACAAATGACTTCATACCATAAATTAAAAAGTGACCTATAAAAAAATAAAAACTGATATATAAAATACATATCTTTGCATATAGGCAAAATATAACAAAAATATTTAAATGAATAAAATGCAAAACCATGAAGGCAAATATATAAAACATACACGTCATATACTTAAGTTTCTATTAAGCATAAGTCTACACATAAAGAATTTGGGGTATCATCTTTGATTGTACCGTTACTGCTGTCCATTTTTTAAAATATTTTCTGGCATAAATTAGATCCAAACAAATTCAACAGCTCTAGTTAGCTGTAACGTTACGCTCAAAGACAACTAGCCGGTAAGAAAAAATGAGGAATTTAAGCAATTTCTATAAATTCAATATAACAGCTCTTTAGAAACTATTTTTTTCCTAAGATTTTATTTATTTATTTGAGAGAGGGAGTGAGTGAGAGAGAAAGCATGAGCAGAGGGAGGAGCAGAGGGAGAAGCAGACTCTCCTCCGAGCCGGGAGCCTGATGTGAGGCTCAATCCTGGGACTCTGGAATCATGTCCTGAGCCAAAGGCAGAAGCTTAACCAACTGAGCCACCCAGGCACCCCTAGAAACTATTTTGTGGAAAAAAGAAAAAATCAGGAAACATAGTATACATACCTAAAAATCCATTATTTTAGAAATGCATGTGTTTTAAAATGAAACTCACATATATATATACTACATTTCATCAAATTTTATTTACAAAAAATTGAGTCAATAGAATAGTTTTGCAGGATCTCAAAGAACAAACCCGAGTATTTTATATTAAACATGTATATACACAGTTACATGCAAAGACAAATGATAAATTGATTTATTGTAACCATGGAACAAAACCCCCCAGAATTTTGAAAATTTTTAAAAAATGAGCAAATCAACAACTATTTAAAAAAGAATCAGTGAGGGGTGCACCTGGGTGGTGCAGTTGGTTAAGCCTCTGACTTGGTTTCAGCTCTGGTCATGATCTCAGGGTTGTGAGATCGAGCCCTGTGTCAGGCTCCGCACTCAGTGCAGAATCTGCTTGAGATTCTTTCTCCCTCTTCCTTTACACCTCCCCACTGTGTACTCTCCTCTTAAAAAAAACAAACAAAACAAAACCCAAAACAAACAAAAAAAACTTAAAAAAGAGAAAAAGATTTAGTAGAGAGAGACTAAAATTTTAAAAGTATTTTCAAGTGTAGAGAAAAACCTTCTAATGTGACATAAAACAGAACAGATAAATTGTAACAGGACTGAGTATCCCTTCAAGACAGCAAGTTGGTTTCCACTTAGTTCAGGGGTGAGCAAAAATTCAGAGGTCAGAAAATTTCTTACTTAAAGGGCTTAGATAGTATTTTAAGCTTGTAGGGTATGTATGGTCTGTGTTGCAAATACTTAATTCTGCCTTGAAATCAGCCACAGATAAGACAAATGAATGGATATGGCTGGATTCCAATAAAACTTCATTTACAAAAACATGCAGCGTTTCAGCTAGATTCAGCTGGCAGATAATGACTGGTAACCCCAATTTAGAATTATTATGTATCCTTAGTTCTGTCCCTGAGATGATGGACATGTTCGTTATACTGTTATACTGATTGTTATCATAGTTTAATGGGTGTACATATGTCAAAACTTACAAAATATATATTTAATAAACATGTGCAATTTATTGTACACATCAATTATACCTCAACAAAACTTATGAGAAACGTACCATAAGATTTATTCAATACTTATCTATCATTTTTCCCCATGTTAAGATTTTAAAGGCTAGATATTATTGGCATTCTACTAATTTTTTTGCCTAAAAGGTAAAAAAGTATTTTTCTTTTTAAGAGAGAGAAAGTGCACAAGGGGCAGAGGGAGAACCTTAAGCAGGCTCTACACGGAGCTCTATCTCAGATCATGACGTGAGCCGAAATCAAGAGTCCGACGCTTAACTCACTGAGCCACCCAAGCGCCCCAAACGGTATTCATGATTAGCTTATGTGCCGCCATAGCGAGCACAATGGTATTCATCTTTAAAGAAGTTCACAGAGCTTTTTAAGGCTCTTATAGCCCCCAAATCCAAAAGATATCAAGAAATCAATTTGCTACATTTCTATTGCCCATACTTTTATACTAAATAAAAATGAGTTAAGTTAACCTAGCCCTGAACTAATTTTTGTGACCAAATTCATCTTTTATTCTCACACCTGAATTTCCTACACGTCCTTATAAGCTTTCCAGTGCAAATCACCCTGAGGAAATAGCTACTTTTTTCCTCCTGTCTTTGGTCTACAAATCACTTATCAGGGGGAAAAGAAGCAAAAGATAATATATATGGTGACTCTGCTTCTTTGGGCTTCTCAAGGAAATATTTTCCATTACTTGGCAAACACTGTTCACCTCTCTTACCTAAGCAGGTGATCTCTACCCAGTGCCAGATTAGCCAAGGTTATGGGTCAGCTGCAGAATTGGCTAGTTTGGCTGGAAAAGATGTTAGTTCACTCACAAAAATATAAATCATGATGTGCTTCAAGTTTAACTCCTTCAAATGTCCCTCTTCCTCTACATTTCAAAAGCAGTAACAACATAAAAAATTTATACTTACCTTAACTTCAGGCTCTTTTTCACATTCTTCAATATATAAGTCATAAAGTTTTTGAAATACAGATTTTCTAAAATTTAACGAAACAAAATAATGTGACTATTATAATCATCATAAAATGAATGCTATTTTGAAATTTTCCCTAATTTTTTCCCCAATTTCCCCCAAACTGGGGGTGAAGTGGGGTTGGATATTGTAGCTAATATCAACTTAGAAATTTCTAATACATGTAAAGTACCTCTAACATTTCTAGCACAGTGCCTAGAGGGAATGCAGTAAGTGGTAGCTATCATCATATTTTCAATAATCACAAAGATATCAATCAATTAAGTACTCATACCTTCCACTAGACAGGTATTTCCTTTTAGGAGGTCTCTGTCGGGCACTTTCAATGACATACTAAAAAAGAAAAGTTTATGAAAACAGCTTGCCTTTTGCTTAGTGCATGAACAGCTCTATTGTATGAACAGCTCTATTATAAGTATACCTAAAACATGTGTTAAGACCAAAAAACTAGTCACTTAAGTCTCTGATTCATATTAAATTATACCATAACTACTTATACCTTAAACTACTTAACGCCTAAATTTATGTTACAAACAAGTGAAATTTAAACTGCTCTAAAATTTAACACAATATTTCACTGCTATGATAAAAGCAAAATATAGTTTCAGAACTGTGATTTCACAGGTCAGAATTATTTTCAAAATGTTTTATGGTTGTTCAGAATATGCACAGCATATCCAGTTGTAAGAACTCTATATATTTTTGAACTGTTTTCCCCTTTGAGTAATTAGAAAACTTATCAAAAAGGAAAACATAATTCTAGAAATTCTATGTCTTTGTTCAATAATTTTTATTCTACACTAAGAATTCCAAATAAGAGATGACCCAAACCTCATCACAAAGTATTTTTATTTATAGCAAAATTATATGCATACTTATCCTAAAATTATGTTAATGTACTCCTCTGAGAACCACATACAAAAATCTCTTAAAACTGAGTTTTGTTAATTAAGACAACACTATTTCAATATGTAACTTAGTCACACCTCACCTCAGCACGATCCAAAGCTAGTTCTAAAGCTTGTTGCTGTAAAAAGTAAATAGTGTATTTGGTATTAGTTATTTTCACAAAAAATAACACTTCTAGTTAAATGTTTATATACGTTTTTATTTTCTAAAACATGTCTAACATATTTTCCTTTATTTTATATCCACCCACCCCACTGTATGTTCAAGATATATTACAAAGAAAAATCATGTCAGTCTTGGGCACCTGATTATAACAATAAATTATATAAGAAATGCTAAAATGGTTTTCTCTGGCTAGTGTTTATGGAGGCTAATACATAGCCAATGGTTGGATATAGAAACTACTACCATTCCATAAACTTCAAGTTCTTCAACATTCTAAGAGCACCATTCAGGAAAATATACAGCCATCCAGTATGCAATTAAAGTGAAGCAAAGATTAACTCTCCTAATCTGCTAGGAATCCTGAAAATCGGGGGTGCTGTTATATTGGTACCTAACACCAATTTAGAAATTCTTAATATCTTAATGCAGAGAATCTATAATATAAGGTTTCTAGGTCAGTGCCCAGTAGAAATGCAATAAATGATAGCTATCATTACCATGTTTCAATGACTTTAAGATACCATCAACTGTAAGTATGCATCAGTATCCTAGGTAATATTAAGAAAAAAATGCAGCCAATTATAACTGCAAGATGTCCTTAATTGTAGACTCATTGACTAATATTAAAATGTATAAGAAAATGCATCTAAAATTAATGAAATAATATTTTTATTACTGCATGTCGGGCCTGAGAATAAAGAACAGACTCCCACCCTTCATCCATTTCTTTGAGACCCTTTTATCAAGGCAAGATAAGAAGGTAAGCTCTGTTTTCCTCATTTGTAAAAGTTTCTTTTGTACTGATATCTAAGAATAAAGAGTACTAGGTTTTAAATAAGTAATTTTTTTTTAAAGATTTTATTTATTTATTTGACAGAGAGAGAGCACAAGCAGGGGGAGCAGCACGCAGAGGGAGAAGCAGGCTCCCCGCTGAGCAGGGAGCCCGATGTGGGACTCGATCCCAGGACCCTGGAATCATGACCTGAGCTGAAGGCAGCTGCTTAACTGACTGAGCCACCCAGGCCCCCCTAAATAAGTAAATTTAACACCAATGATATCTCTTTCTAATTTTGAGGTTTGGGTACCGTACAGTGTTACAGTATTTTTCATTCACAATGATAGTCTTTAATTTTTAATTCCACTGAGAGCCAGAGAACTTTCATTTTTTATTAACAAGGGCCTAAATTATTTTATTTTGTAGACTGCAGTAATTCTACCTACTAAATTCTATGGGGTAAAAGCTAGCACCCACCAAAACCCAAGAAAGCAATGGGAAAAAGAAATACTGCCAGCCTTTGGAAATCATGGAAAGGTTTAAGTGACCCTGCCACCCGAGTCCTAGGGATGGAGAATTCATATGATGACAAAAATAGCTGGTCTTTTTAGACTGCAATAAAAAAACCAAAAAACAAATAACCCAAAAAACAAAAAACAAAAAAACAAACCACTCACATTACCAAACATCTAAAACGTAAAAGTGAAAAAAGGCTAAAATATGCCATCATTTCAAAAAGTTAAAATAAATTTATACCAATTTAATTTTTGAAAATAATCTTATAAGCAGCAGGTTCCTAATGAAATTGGTTCCCAGGATTCAAGATGAGATTCTCGAGTATAAACCATTTTCCAGCACAAAACTGTAACTCTAGGTATGTCCTTTTAACAAATATATAAGGTTATTTTAATTCTTTTGGTCATAAAAATTTTAAAATAAGTTCATACAAAAAATTATAATAAACAATCAAATGTATACTCTAGGACAACCGGCTACCGTTAGTCTTCTCAAGTAAATGTCTCATCTTCTGAAATCAAAACTTCAGAAGCTCTAGTGAGATATAACTGCTTATGTTTATAAGCATCATTTATTCACTACCTCTGTATAACACTTGAGAGGAGAGTGATAGCTAATATGGATGCAAGATGTTAAGTTGAGGTCAGCCCCTCATTTTGACAGCTCTACTTTTCTCTAATAGGCAGTGGTGGATAGGCAAGATCAGAAGAGAGGATAAACGTTTTCAAAGGTTTATTCAGCACTGTGGTCAGTGTTTATTTTTTCATTGTTAAATGCTGCTGCTTCTTTCAAACACAATAAAGTGATTTTTTCCCCCGTTGTTTTTAAATACTATCATGGCAAAAGGTAAATGCCCAGCCCCAAGTATGTTTAATGACTGTTAAGTCAGTGAACAGAAATGTGCCATTAGAAGGCTAACATTGATGCTGCTTTAAATGTTATTTGTGGTAAGCAGGTTACATTTGTTTTTAAACAACAACAACAATCTAAATTAAGAGGAACTTTAAAATATGAGAAACCTGTGCCCCCTCCAAGTCATTCGTATTTATACCCACCCTCCTTGCCAGTGATTTGACTGTGGCAGGTGAAGTAAATATTTTTTAATGCTTCACAAACATAAGGACAGACAAATTATCTTTTTAAGTTAGACATAATTATAACATTGAATTGAGATATGAGCCCTCTATTTTCTAGAGAAGATTTTGCAGGTGAGTGCTAAGTAATTTCCTAGGTAGGGTAACTAATTTAGGCATACATGAGTATTTCTGTACCTGTAATACAGATATTTTTATAGAGATAAAGAGAACACTCTAAGACACAAATAAGAACATAATGAGCTATAGCTTACCATTGTGGTATAAAATAGGGGTCCAAAAAGAAGAGATAACTTATGTGCGTTGATGAAGAGGGGTGAAAACCATGTCTTTAATATCAATCTTATAGTGCTAAAAAAGCAAAAACAACAAAAACCCCCACATTAACATAAAGCTCTTAAATCAGATTATCTCATTAATAAGGAAAATTACTTGAGAAATAGAAATTTTTGAACACATTTTTGAATAATCAGCAACAATAAAAATCACATATCACAGTCCTTCCAATTGTTTTAAAGTACAGTTTTAACTAGGTAAATTAGAATCATTACTTGCTTTCTTCAAAAAATTTAACATCCAGGAGAGAAAAGAATAAATGTCTTCAAATTTCTCCTCTCCATCACCACTGTTGCTATTGTCATTGTTCCTATGGATTATTCTAACAATCTATCCACTAACCTGCATCACTGTACAGTTCACTTTACAAATCACACATTTCATCACACCTGCTAATAAAAGTCCTCTAAAGATATTCCCCCAAATATCCTAAGCTACATTTGGCAGATACAGCTCCAGTCCCTCTAGCCCTTCCCCTCTTCAGGCAAATTGGATACACTGCTGAAGAATGTCATTCCTCTAACACATGGGTTCTCACCCTGGCTGCACAACAGAATAACCTGGGGAGCTTTAAAAAGTGGTATACTCATGCAGTGATTCTGATTAACTGGTCTGGAGTAGGGCCTACGGATCAGAATTTTTTGAAACCTCCAGGTGATGCAAAGGCTAATTTTACCTAACTCCCTCTAACTTGTGTGTCTACACACCATTAAGCTATAAAAACCACATCCTCAAGTGACTGAAAACAGTATTTTCCATATAAAATTGTTTTTGTTTTTGGTGAACCCAAAGCTTAGGTTTTGCCAGTTTGAGTTTAAGAAACAAACAAACAAAAAAACCAAAAAATGACAGGCACCGTCCAAGTTCCAGGAATAATAATTTAAAAAGTAAGACATTAATCCTACCTTCCAACAGCTCATGGGTTTAATATGAGTTTAAGTTAAGGTGAAAATTTCTGACCTCTGAATCTAAAGATGAAGGTACACCAGGTACAGGCAAGATGTGATGATTCTAATCTCTGTCACTAAATTGGGAGGGGGATGGGAAGAGGAAGGCTTCCCAACTTTAAATTATTTAAGTATTACAGACAAAAACCATTAACTACGTATACAATTTAGAAACCAAACATTATGACCGCATACAGCATTTACCAGAACCCTGTGAAAAAACCATTGTAATTATCGTGTCCATTTTACAAAATAAGGCACTCAAAACGAAGGATTTTCCCAAGATCACACAGACTGGAATTTAGACCTCTAAATTTTTAATCTTAAAAGCTCACGACCTTCAGGCCATTCAATCCAGCACCCGTTTTTAGATTTTAAAAAGCAATCGGATTCTGCTCAGACTAACGTACATTTTTTTTTCTTAATTTCGATCTAACTTCATATCATGGTTCTCAACCTTCGTACACTATACTCAATCTCACTCGGAAAATCTTGCTAATCACTATTTTCCTACCAGGGACTTTAATGTATGGTACCCAGGAAAACGCAGACCCTCCTGATGCGATGGTTACAGGAGATGGCTTCCAGGAACAGCTAGCTCCGGTAACCATGGCAAGGACCAGTAATTAATCCAACTGTAAAACTAGCAACCGATTCCACTGCTTTTCCTGATCGACCTGACGCTTCAACTGTTCGAGTTTTTTTTTTTTCTTTTGAAACAACTTAGGCTTTACCAATATAACGCCACAACACAACAGCAGGGCGAACAGCCTTTATTCAATATGGATACCAAGAAACCCTCCCCCAAAGAAGCGCTACGCGAAATTCTTGGAAATTTCCGGAAATACCCGTACCTGGAATCCAAAAGTCAAACTACAACGAAAAGCGTTGCTTGGAAACACTGCCAGAGGCAACTGAGGCTACTACCCGGGGTGCGAGGGCTCAGCCCAGTCCACCCCCGTCTCTGGGAACACCCTCCCTCTGCGGACGCCGGCTCTGTGGAAAACCGCGAAAAGCCGCTCGGGAAGCCGCTCGCTTACCTTTGACCCCGGCCAAGATCTCGCGCGCCTAACCGTCGCTGGGGGCCCGCCACTCCCACCCGCCACCACCCACCTGTGCGGAACGCCGCCGCGCTGGCCTCATGACGGCGCGTCTGGCTCGGCTGGAACACGACGTGCGGGCAAGCCCCGCGCTGCAGGCTGCAGGTTCGTTTCGTAGGTCCCCTCGCGGGAGCGTCGCAACTCAGCCGTAGGCCTGTTCCGGCGCCCGCACTTCCGACTGGCGCGCTGGGCGGGGCGAGCTGGGGACCGCAGGCGGAAGAGGTGGAGTTGGGAGGGTCGGACGGCACGCAGGAGGCTTGCGCGTCAAAGGCTGGGGTTGCCGGGGCGGGGCGGGTCTCCACAAAGACTGTGGGGACTCAGGCCCGGCAGTTGGGGGGGCCCACAAGCTCCTTCGCGGGCCCGGCGTCCAGCCCCGTAAAATGCGAGGTAGGATGTGGCTATTTGGAAGGTAGGGTGCCCTTCTGAATTTCTGGAGTGAAAGACTCTTGGAACGAGCTTTTATAATGGAAAGGGAACTTCACCATTTCCACAGTTAATAGTTCAAGCCATTCAGCCCTCGATAGTGTATATCAAATGCCAGTGAATTTAATGTTTAAAAAATTCCAAAAAACAAACAGAAGCAACCTCACTGAAGAGTTCTAACAATTCAGAAAGGGATGGTTATTACCGGCATACATTACAATGTCTAATTGTAGTTCTGCACCTCTAAACAACTTTGGTTGTTGGGTATAAACTTTATTCTTATTATTGAGGTGAAATTCACAGAACATAAAATGAAACATTTTAAAAAGTATAATTCAGGGACGCCTGGGTGGCTCAGTCAGTTAAGCGTCTGCCTTCGGCTGGGCTCATGATCCCGGGGTCCTGGGATCGAGTCCCGCATCGGGCTCCCTGCTCGGCGGGGAGCCTACTTCTCCCTCTGCCTGTCTCTCTCTGTCTCTCATGAATAAATAAATAAAATCTTAAAAAAATAAAAATATAATTCAGTAGCATTTAGTAACATTTATGATGTTGTGCAACCACCAACTCTAATTCCAAAACATTTTCATCACCCCCATTAAGTATTTACTCTCCATTTTTCCCTCTCTTAGACCTCAGCAGACACCAATTACTTTCAGAGTCTTTAGATTTACCTAATCTGGATATTTCCCAAAAATGGAAAATGTGACCTTTTTTTATGTCTGTCTTCTTTCACTTAGCATAATGTTTTCCAGGTCCATCCACCTTGTAGCAAGTATCAGTACGTAATTCCTTTTTATGGCTTATATTCTGTCCCATTGTATGTATATACTACAGTTTTATGCATTAGTCCATTGATGGCCATTTGGGTTATTTACACCTTTGGACTATTGTGTATGGTGCTGCTATGAATATTTGTTTTGTATTTGAGTCCTGTTTTCAAATTTGGGGGTGGGTGGGTAATATACCCCTAAAGAAAACCAGAGCCTGACATAGTTCAAGTGGTAAAAACAGATTTTATTTGGCAACTATTGCAAAAGAGGGAAAGAGACCTCAGTATAGAACTGGACTCAATTCCACATATACAGCATGAACAAATAGTAATTTATAGCCAAGGAACGGAGTTGGAGGGCAGTGGATGGAAGTTTCTTAACAGGAAATGATAAGGGTCAGGGGGCATTCTGGCTAAACTGACTTGTTGGGATTCTGACTGAAGGCAGATTAGGTTGATCAGGCACCAAGGGTGGGGACTAAGAGTTTGATCAGATCAGATATCCAGGGGGATCCAGATACACAGTTCTTTGTAAACTGACTTAGGATTCTTGCTACAACTGGTTGATACATGTCCCACAAATCAGACTAGAATCCTGGAGAGAGCTTGTCAAATACCTAGGAGTGGCATTGCTGGGTCATATGGTAATTCAATTCTTAAATATTTGAGAAATTGATGAAACTTTTCCAAAGTGGCTGAGACATTTTACATACTAATAGCAATCAATATGTGGTGGTTCCAATTTCTCTACATCCTCACCAAATTTCTTTTTTTAAAAATTATACTCACCCTAGTAGGTATGAAATAGTATCTTATTGTGGTTTTGATTTGTGTTTTCCTAAGGCTAGTGATGTTGCATATCTTTTCATGGCCGTGTTGGCCATTTGTATATCTTTGGAGAACTGTCTATTCAAGTCCTTTGCCTATTTTTTAATTGGGTTTTCTTTGTTGTTTAAGTTTTGAGTCTTTCTGTATTCTGGATACTAGACCCTAATCAGATATATGATTTGCAAGTATTTTCTTCCATTCTGTAGGTTGTCTTTTCACTTTCTTGCTAATGTCCTTTGATGTACAAACTTAAATTTTTGATGAAGCCTAGTTTATTTTTCTCTCTTATGGCTTGTGCTTTTGGTGTCATACTTAAAAACCCATTGCCAAATCCAAATTCATAAGGATTATCAAAAACCAAACTCCATACACTGAGTAAAATAAAACAGAAAGATGAGTTTGTTGCAGTGGTTTTGACCTGTAAACTCGGAAACTCAAGACAAAGAGAGCAATGAGTTTCAAGTTAAAAGGTGTTTATGGGGTAAACATGGAAGTTATTTGACTTTTTCAGTTGATTGGTTGCTTAGTGTTCTTATTTGTGTCAGGGTAGCTGAGTCAGAGAAAAAAGAAAGTCCAAAGATGGCATGAACAGACTTGGCATTTGGGGTATCACTGTCCTGGGCTGATTTCTGAGAGGAGCCATAAGTTACTGCAATTTGTCAGGTAAGGCTAAGTTTTGCTTTTCTTTAATGTGCCTGCCTGCATTGGCCAACACCATTTTGTCCCCATCATGAGTGACTCCATTTTAATTTTGATTCTATAGGATTTACCCTTAGGATTTCTTGTAAGAGTTTTATGATTTTAGCTCATGTATTTCAGTCATTGATTCGCTTTCAGTTAGTTTTTGTATATGTTGTGTAATAGGGATTTCATTTCATTCTTTTGCATGTTGTCCCAGACCCATTTGTTGAAGAGACTGTTCTTACTCCCAATGAATGGTCTTGACCTCCATATCAAAAATCAGTTTGCCATACATGTATGGGTTTGTTTCTGGACTGTTAATTCTACTCCATTGGTCTATATGTCTATCCTGTGTCAGTGTAGGTATCCCCAGCTTTTCAAAATTTGTGTTATGCCACTTTGCTTTTACAAAAGACCTACATTAGTACCTGTTTTCATTAATTGAAAGAAATCTGAAAAGAATGTTTGCTTTTACGACAAAAGATTAAAAGAGAAAAAAGTGTTCAGTGTTTGTTTTGTAGTGAGCCTTTATAGAGGCAGCATGCACCCTGAGCAGCAAGAGTGGCACAGCCAAACTCTTTCTCTGGGAACTACATCTCAGTATCAAGCCACCATAGCTTTGCACTGTGTCTGTGAGCATCTGTGCTTAATCTTGATTTATGTTGTGCATCCATTTAGCAAGATGTGTTCTAAAGTATCAGAAAAGCCTGAGAGAGATTGTTTTTCCATGTAAAATTATAATTTTCCATGTAAATTATTGTTAATTGCTTCTTCACTCTATGCCATTTCAGTTTATAAAAGGTTTCATAGGAAATCTATCTTTGGATAGCAGGAAGAAATCTGTACCACACTGTTTTGATTACTGTAGCTTTGTAGTAAGTTTTAAAATGGGGATGTGTAAGTCCTCCAGTTTTGTTTTTCTTTTCTAATATTGTTTTGGCTCCCTTGCAACTTTATATGAATTTGAGGATCAGCTTTTCCATTTTTGCAAAAAGGCCACTAGGATTTTGATAGGGATTGTTGAATTGGTAGATAACTTTGACAAATATTGGTGTGTTAAATACTCCATCTTCCAATTCATGAGCATGATAATTTTCCATTTATTTAGGTCTTCTTTAATTTTTTTCAGCAATGTTTTATGGTTTTCAGTACACAAAATTTTCATCTCCTTAAATTTATTCTTAGGTATTTCATCTTTTTGAATGCTATCTTAATCAGCTTAGGTTGCTATAACAAAATACCGCATACTGGGTGTCTTAAACAACAGAAATTTCTTTCTTACAGTTCTGGAGACTAGGAATCCAAGATCAAGGCCAGTATGTTTTCTGGTGAGAATTTTATTCCTGGCTTGTAGATAGCTGCCTTCTCACTTTGTCCTTCCATAGTGGGCAGGGAGAGAAAGAAAGGGAGACAGGGTGTACTCTGGTGTCTATTCTTAAGGATTCTAAGCTATCAGATGAGGGCCCTACCCTTATGACCTCATTTAACCTTAAATTACCTTCTTATAGGCCTTATCTCAAAAACAATCAAATTGGAGATTAGGGTTTCAACATATGGATTTTGGAGGGACACAGTTCAGTCCATAGCAGATGGTATTATAAGTGGAATTATCACTTAATTTCCTTTTTGGGTTATTCATTGTTAGTGTATTAAAAAAACACATTTTTTTGAGTGTTGATCTTATACTCTGCAAATTTGCCAAATTTATTTATTAGCTCTAATAATTGTGTGTGTGTGTACATGTGTATGTTCTTTAGGATTTCTATATGCAGAATCATAGCATCTGTTAATTGAGATAGTTTTACTTCTTCCTTACAATTTGGGTGCCTTTTATTACTTTCCCTTGTCTAATTGCTTTGGTTAGGGTCATTTCATTTGAAGGAATTGGCTCATGCAATTGTTAACGCTGGCAAGTCTGAAATTTGTAGGGCAGGGTGGTAGACTGAAAACTCAAGCAGGAGTTGATGTTGCAGTCTTGAGACAGAATTTGTTCTTTTCCAAGAACCCTCAGTTTTTGCTGTAAAGGCCTTTGTGTATTGTCAAGGTTGATTGAAAAAGGCCTACCTATATCATCAAGAGTAATCTTCTTTATTTAGAATCAATCAATTATAGATGAAAAACACATCTACAGAATTCTTTTCACAGTAACACCTGGATTAGTGTTTGATTAAATAGGTGGATAGCAAAGTTGACACATAAAACCAATCATCACACCCAGTGTGGTAGATAGTTTTATTCACAATTTTTTAAATAAAAAATTTCACTTTTGTCATGGCTTCAGTTTGGGTAGAATATACTTCCCCCACCATAGTGACTTTGCATTTTGCCATATGACGTGCTTTGGCCAATGGAATGTGAGTGGATGTAACATATGTCCACCAGTTGGGAAACTAGATGTGGTCTTGGAGAGAAGGGGAAGGCCTGTATATTCTGAATCC